CTAGGTAGGGTGACCCACTGTCTTGATTTGTACCGAACTGAGGGGTTTCCCAGGACACGGGACTTTTAGTAAAACCATGATAGTTTCATCACCTTAATTCCAGGCGATTCTTTTTAAAATATATGTATTTTTTATTGATTTAGAAAATATATTTTTCATTGATTTTTTTACAGAGAGGAAGGAAGAGGGATAAAGTGTTGGAAACATTGATGAGAGAGAAACATCGATCAGCTGCCTCTTGCACACCCCCTACTGGGGATGTGCCCGCAACCAAGGTACATGCCTTTGACCGGAATCGAACCTGGGACCCTTGAGTCTGCAGGCTGACGCTCTATCCACTGAGCCAAACTGGTTTCGGCTTTTTTATTGATTTTTATTTAGAGGCAGAGGAGTGCAGAGGGAGAAAGAAATAGAAACATTAATGATGATAGAGAATCATGGATTGATCAGCTGCCTCCTGCACGCCCCACACCGGAGATCTAGCCCACAGCCCAGGCATGTGCTCTGACCAGGAATCGAACCGTGACCTTCTGATTCATAGGTTGACACTCAACCACTGAGCCACGATGGCTGGGGTTGCCCTTTTCTTTAGGACAAGTTCCCCCCACCCCCCAAGAAGCTACTTGGACCTTCAAGCACTTGAACTCAGAGGCCCCCCTACCAGGCTGTGCAGATTATGCTAATTATGGCTGCGAAGTCCCTGGTAACCTAGCATACAGCTTGTCCTTTTTGCCAGTATGGGGAACAAACTTTTATGGAGCCAAACAAACCAGACACTGTCCTGGGAGTTACACTTACTCTAAATTATTCTGAGCGGGTCTTTTCAACAGGCGTCCCAAGGATGGAGTGTCAGAACTTTAGAGGGAAAGGACTTCAGGGGCCATTTAACCCAACTGCTCAAATGAGAGCTCGGGAGAAATGCAATATATAGGGCCCCACCCAGACCAACTGAATCAGCCTGCGGTTTAACAAGAGCCCCAGGTAATTTGAATGCATTTTCAAATCCGAGAAGCCCAAAGCCCTTGTTTTTCAGTTGAAGAAACTGAGACTCGGGGAGATTAAGTGATTTGCTAAAGGTCACACATGAATTGGACTCAGGATCCAGTTCCAACTCAAGCCCAGCACTTTCCTCTGTACCTGGCTGCCTTCCTACAGGGCCATATTTTGTTTGTCTGGTTCTAGCGATTGAATGAATTTGAACTTAACCACATTTATTTAAAAATACTTTAGATTTAAAAATACTAATTCAGATGAGACTGCCTTTCATTTATCTGAATTGGTGGTACTTACTTGTTTCTTAATTTCTTGTGTGTGTTTATTCAGTTCACTCAACAGTTACATGAAGCAATCGTTTTCCACATGATAAAAGCTTCTGGCCCTGCTGGCACGACTCAGCATCAGCCTGTACAATGGAGGGTCATGGGTTCGATTTCGGGTTAAGGACACATACCTGGGTTGCAGATTCGATCCCTGCTCTGGTGAGGGCGCATGAAGGAGGCAACCAATCAATGTGTCTCTCACGTTGATGCTTCTCTCTCCCATTCTCTAACACTCAATGGAAAATATATTCTCATGTGAGGATTAACAAATGGAACTGGATGTATATAAATGCTGCCATCTTTATAATGACAAGCATACTATATAAGAAAAAAAAAATCAAACATTGTACCACTCTTTTGGTTGGTTTTATTAGATGGTACAGTATCTATTAGTGTACTGTACACACACACTGGGGAGAATGTTCGTCGTTTTTTGGTAGATCTCAACTGGGACTGTGGACTTGACCCAGCATCTATTTTTATTTATTTACTTATATTTTTATTGATTTTAGAGAGGAAGGGAGAGGGAGAGAGAGAGAGAAACATCAATGACGAGAGAGAATCATTGATGGGCTGCCTCCTGCATACCCCCCAATGGAGAAAAAGCCCTCAACCTGGGCATATGCCCTTGACCGGAATCGAACCCGGGACCTTTTAGTCCACAGGCCAATGCTCCTTCCACTGAACCAAACTAGCCAGGGCAGGATCCACTATTTTAAAAGTACTTCCAGAATTTTGGTTGCATGCGATGATGAATTGACAGCGATCCTATGGAACTGTTTTAAAATATTATGAGTCAAAATGTCCGTTGTTTACATATATTTAACCCATATTGATGTGCGTTTAGGTAGGAGGCTCGTTCTCGCTTTGGCTTTGTCTGTTATCCTTGTTTTCAGGAGCTTTTCTGGCCCATTTTCTCCCCATCGTAAAACTCCATCTGATGCCCGGGTTAGGGAGAGGAGTCTGGGTATCTAGCTACTCCTTAGACATATTTTCACGAAGTTCCTTGAACTTTCAGGCTCTCCCTTCTGAGGTACTCAGTGACCCTAATTCCCGAATTTTTCGGGACTGGCTTTTAGTTCTTCCTCTCTCAGGCAATTCCCATATGTCCACTTCTTCCATCTTCTGAAATATTGTTAACATCCTTCGTCTGCTATCATCTTTCCTCCCAAGCTCCACACTTCCTAGTCCTTGTTGTCATTTCGTGGGGGTGGGGTTGAGAGTGTATTAAATCTGTGGTATTTAACTTTTTTCTTTCATTTGTAATTTAAAAAAAATGTTTTATGGCCCAGCGGGTGTGGCTCAGTAGCTGAGTGTCAACCTATGAACCAGGAGGTCATGGTTCGTTCTATTCCCAGTTGGAGCATGTGCTCAGGTTGTGGGCATTATTCCCAGTAGGGGGCATGTCTTAGGCAGCTGATCAATGATTCTCTCTCACCACTGATGTTTCTTTCTCTCTCCCTCTCCCTTCCTTTCTCTGAAATCAATGAAAACATATATATATTTTTAAAATATATTTTATTGATTTTGTACAGAGAGGAAGGGAGAGAGATAGAGAGTTAGAAACATCGATGAGAGAGAGTCATCGATCAGCTGCCTCTTGCACACCCCCTACTGGGGATATGCCCACAACCAAGGTACATGCCCTTGACCGGAATCAAACCCAGGACCCTTCAGTCCCCAAGCCGACGCTCTATCCATTGAGCCAAACCAGTCTCGGCAATGAAAACATATTTTAAAGAAATGTTTATGTATTTTTCTTAAGTTTGTGTACACTCTTTTTTACTCCCTCCTCAGTCTTACTTGAGTTTGACTACTTTATTGGTCTTTATGATGCACTGACTTTGGGGAAAGATTTTTTAAAAAATGAATTTGAATATATTTTCTAATTTTTAACATCTTTTTTATTTTCACTAAATCCTAACCCTCCCCCCATAAACCTCTATTTTGTTTTTTCATCTTTGTTAAGCTTCCTGCTTTAAAATTCTAGGGTGTGTGTTTTCCCTGGCTGTCCGCTTTGCTTTCTCTCTTTTAAAGCATAAAAACATGTAAAACTCAAATTTTCTAGAGTAGACAACTTTTTATATCTGGTAGTAAACATTTCAATTTTTATATCCTCTGTGTCCCAAGAATTATTTGGGAAGAGTGTTCTGTTGTTGCAATTAGGTTTTCTTATGGGAGCACTAGTCTTAAGTTTTATTTTGTAGTTTTATGACATTCTTACATGGTAGTCAGATAGTAGGACTTCTGCAACTTCTACTTTTTACAAATTTGTTGTATTTTTCTGTATGGTCTGGGTCTGATAAATTTTTTTTTTTTTAAACTTCCATGGTTAACTTGGTATTAGTAATAAGTCGTGGTTTGTCTCGTTTCCGTGTTACCTTTTGTTTAAAAAGCAAGCAAGCATGGTTAAGAATATTGAGAAATCTCCCTGTCTCGGTTGATTTCCTGCCTGGAGCGGCCCGAGGGCTAAGTCTTTATTACCAGGGGAGTAATGGGGCCAAGACTGAGATGAAATTCCATGCGAAAGGTTCTTCTTACGGGGCCACTCCTGAAATTACAGACACTGATTGTGCAACACGATAGCTCAGCAGCTCCGGGTAGAAATTCTTGTTTTATCTTGGGCCATATATCACCATCTGATAGATTTGGATGTTTCAGGAGTTTTAGCCCCAAACCTTTTTGCTGCTTATCTAAGTAATTGGGATCTGGTCCTGCTGCGGGGACCCTGCTGCTATCTCGCTGGCATTGTAAACACATTCACTTTTTCCCTGAAAGGAAAATGGATAGGGTAATAGAGATGTTTTCCTACCCTCCACTTGCTTTCTGCAGTATAGCAAGGAGAATTATAGGTTCCTCTCTTCAGTTGGTCAATCCAAATAGAATGCTTACACTGTATAAATAAAGACATATGGGCAAATGATGTAGTCATTTCACCATTCCAAGCTGGGAAGACAGAGCTGGGACAGAGTATCTTGACAAGTTAACGTGGTTGATGGGAGAATATACAGGTGTTAGGGGAACACAGAGGAAGATACATTTAATTTTCTTTAAGAATGAGGGGATGGGGAAGATGTCAGGGAGAATATGGTGTTGAAGTTGGGTCTTGAAATAGGAATAGGTGCTAGGCTGGACAGAGATGGAGGGATAGGCATTTTTGTTTGTTTGTTTGTTTGTTTGTTTGTATATATGTGTATAAGTGATGAGAGAGAATCATTGATCGGTTGCCTCTTGCATGCCCCACACTGGGGATCGAGCCCGCAACCCCGTATGTACCCCGACCTTCTAGTTTATAGGTCGATGCTCAACCAGTGAGCCAAGCCGGCTGGGGGGGGATAGGCAATCTAATAGAAGTATGAGTGGATAGCATGTATGGGAAAGAAGGGTTGGTCTTTTCCCCAGAGAATCTTGTGTATGGCCTGAGTTTGGGAAGGGTGAAGCTGGAGGAGCTAGCCTACAGTCAGGCCATTAAGAGCCTTGATAGCCAGGTAGAGGAATTTGTACTTTACTCTGTGGGCAATGCGTAGTCAACGTAGGCTTTTAAGGAAAGGGTCAGTTCCTTTTCAATTTTGGTATTTAAATTTTGGTTCTCCATCATAAATGTTTACTACCCAAAATACAATTTGTCAAAAGTAGGTAATGGAATTTTCATTTTTCTGAAATACACAATTTGTGATTCAGGTTTAGACATCTGTGCCACGTGCCACGAACATGCCACTTGCAAGGAAAGAGAAGGGAAGAAGATGTGCATTTGCAAATACGGATTTGTGGGCAATGGGAGGACTCAGTGTATTGGTAAGTGCTGACTCCTGTGTTGAGTTGAAAAGTTGCAGAAACAAGATTCTTTAGTGTTAAAGAGTTGATGTCCTTGGGAAGAAAACATTGTTATTTTTTTCACTGTTTTTAGTACAAGAAGTTTTGTCAATTATAATAACTCTTTGTTTTAGTGTTTGGATATATCCTGTCTCTAGGGTTTCCAAGGAAGTATCCCTCATGTTAGAGGTCATTGAACTTGAATTTCTGGAAACTCTCTGGCCCACTGCAAATTTGAAATGTGTTTCAGGTCTTGAATTTAACTTAGTAACTTAAGTCAATATTGAGTTTTCTTAATTTGTTTTGATATAAAACTGCTTATATTAGTATCATGAGAAAAAAACACAACACAATTGCCCATTAGACTTTTTGGCTAATTGATGAAATACTATTGCTTTGAGTCTCATGTCGAGCAGAATCCATCCTCCATATTGTGTGTGGTTATGATCTTTTGGAGTCTTGGGTGAACTTAGAAGAATGTAAAGACCTTTAAGCTAGAAGCATTTGAGATTATTTTTTGCCTCATGTGGCTCGCAAGCCGCAGTTTGCCGACCACGGTCCCAGAATATTGATTCCCGAGTTCACAGGACAGTGGAGTGTTGAACGTGGCATGGACTGACGGCCTTTCCTGGATGTTGTCTCAATGTATCAACAGATAAAAACGAGTGCCAGTTTGGGGCCACTGTGGTCTGTGGGAACCACACATCTTGCCACAACACGCTCGGAGGCTTCTATTGCATCTGCCTAGAAGGATATCGAGCCACAAACAACAACAAGACATTCATTCCCAACGACGGCACCTATTGCGCAGGTATTCAGAAGGGGCCGTGGCCATGGCAACTGGGTGGTGGCAGGACAGAGTCCAGGATTCAGGAGAGGGAGAGGGCAGGGCCAGGACTAGTGTGATTTAAGGGAGGGACTTTCCTGTAAGAAAATTTGTTTTTGTTTTGTTAATCCTCATCCGAGAATTTTTTTTTTTTTTTCATTGATTGTTAGAGGGAGTGGAAGAGAGAGACATCGATTGGTTGCTTCCTGCACGTGGCCCAACTGGGGCCAGGGATTGAACTTGCAGCCCAGGTACGTGACCTTGACTGGGAATCAAATCTGAGACCCTTCAATGTGCAGGCTGACCACTGAGCAATACCAGCCAGGGCATATGAGTGAGATTTGGACAAAGCCTAAGTATTAGTTAGTATTAGAGAATTAATGTTAATTTTATTAGGTAGGATAAGAGTAAGCATTTAGGATAATGTTCTTATTTGGGGAGAGACATGCTGAAGTATCTGGGGTATTATTATAAAGTACCTAGTGTTATTAGATATGTAAGGTACCTTAAATATAAATAATTGTTCCTTCTTGGGGGTGTGGGTCTATGGGAGTTCAGTGTAATGTTCCTTTTGCTTTTTAAAATATAGTTTTATTGATTTCATAGAGGAAGGGAGATGGAGAGAGAGGTAGAAACACATCAATAATGAGAGAGAATCATTGATTAGCTGCCTCCTGCACACTCCACATTGGGGATTAAGACTGCAACCCAGGCATGTGCCTTAATTGGGAATCAAACTGTGACTTCTTGGTTCATAGGTTGATGCTCAACCACTGAGCCATGCCTCTGGGCAGTAATGTTCCTTTTCTTGTTCTGTGTGTTTGAACATTTTCATAATAAATAACAAGGAGGGGCCCTCAGAGATGGTGCGTCACCTGCAGGTTCCTGTAACCCCAAATGGGCTGTTTGTTCTTGGGGTGACTCTGGCATGAACCAGCTTGTGCACGTGGTCCCCTAAGGTCCCAGGGGGTGGGCACCACGATGCTGGCTCCCGGGAGGTCAGAGCACTCACTGCTCCTATTGCACCTCCCACAGAAGTAAGTGAAGAGTAACTTTTGGAACCTCAGTAGCTTAGAGGGTCAGATTTCTGGGCATACGTTGGTTGAATACAATGGGGTGGGTCAAAACCCTCCTAATTTTTCAGTGGCCCCTGCATTATCTGCCCTCTACTTACATCCTGCCATGATAGTATAGCTCTTTGGTTTTCTTAGAAAAATCTTTGAATTGTGATGAAGAGAAAAGGCAGGAAGGGACTGCTGATTCTAAGATGGGTTTGTACAGACCTAATGACTGCTTAAAAGCTTTATTATTTAAAGGTTTCCAGGGAAAAGAAAGGGAGAGGAGAACATGGCTTCTTACCCAGAACCACAGGTCCTGATGCTCTGATTCATTCTCCCTCTTGACCTGTACCAAGGTGAAGATCCCTCCAAGGGTCCATTTGATCCATTCTTGTCACAGATGAGCACATTCCTTCAGAAAAGGCATCTGATAATATCCTGTTGTTTTAGGTAGCAAATTCCCTGCCACATGATTGCAGAAGCCCAGTGTTGCAGGATTAAACTAGGTGGGTTTAAAAAAACAGGTACCAATTACCTTAGCTGATTTGGCTCAGTGGATAGCGCATTGGCCTGCAGATTGAAAGGTCCTGGGTTCAATTCTGGTGAAGGGCACATGCCTGGGTAGTGGGCTCCATCCCCAGTGTGGAAGGCAGCCGATCAGTGGTTCTCTCTCATCATTGATGTTTTTATCTCTCTCTCCCTCTCCCTTTCTCTCTGAAATCAGTAGAGGAGGGGGGGAAAAGAGGCAGCAATTAAAAAAAATAATAAAGTACCAATTTAAAACAACCTTACAAGATGATGAAGATCTGGCATTCAGGTCATTCGATACACATATCTCATGCTCTTCTGTGTGCTAAGGCTATGCTAGCGAGAGGAGATACAGGCAGCTCATTTCAGGATAAAGTATCAATGATATAGGTAAGCAAAGGGTGCTTACTGAAAGCCATAATCCACAGGGGCACTGTGGGAAGTGCGGAAGGGAATGGAAACCTTACTGGAGGACATGATATCTGAAATTATGTTTTCAAGGTTGTGGAATTTGCCAGGAAAAAAAAAGTTTTAAAATATGTTTTATTTATTTTAGAGAGAAAAAGAAAGGAAGGGTGAGGGAGAGAGGAGGAGGAGGAGAAGGCGGAGGAGAGAGAGAGAGGAACATGAGTGAGATACATTAATGGAGCCCGCAACCCTGCCTGACTGAAATTGGAAATTGAACCGGTGACCTTCCGGTGCATGGCTGATGCTCAACCATTGAGCCACACCAGCCGGACACCAGGAAAACCTTTTATAACTATATCACTATAGTTCTCAAGGATATAGTCTACTTTTAAAAAGTAGGGGGGAAAAACATTCATGCAAGGGTTAAATAATTGTCAGCCTAATAAGAACCAATCCTCCTGGAATAATAAACCGGATCTCAGCCCTGCTTCTATCAATATTTATTCTACTTCTACTAATTATTTAGTGACCTTTCTTCTTTAAAAAAAATTGAGATATAATACACATACCACAAAGTTCACCCTTTTGAAGTATACAGTTCAGTGGCTTTTAGTATATTCACAAAGCTGTGCAACAATCACCGCTGTTAAATTTTATACCATCATCTCCCCTCAAAGAAGTCCACTGACAATCCTTCATTCATATGACATTTCCTCCTGAGGTCTCCACTTATCGCTTGGCGTCAGCTGATGGGTTACTTCTCTTGATGCTACTGAAAGTCAGAATCACAGTTGCCACAGGCTGTGGATATTAGCTGGGGCAGAGGCTTAGCAAGTTTTGGGGTATCAGCAGTTAGCAAGCGTTTGCCTGGAACCACAGGATGTGAGTCAGAGCTCTCGCATTAGGAGAATCCTGTGACCAGATGTTTCTCATGCTTGGCAGAGCTCAGGTCAAATTCAGGGGCTGGCTGCAGGTAGCCCCTTTGGCTGTCACCAAGGACGGATGGCGAATGGGTGCACGGGTTCTAGTGCAGGGTTCTAGTTGTGGAGAAACTGCAGATGTTCTGACCCCCAGGGCTGCCCCTGAATGACTCCAGGGGTTCATGGAACCTTTGCCATGTGCCACACCCAGAGGAAGAAGCTCTGGGGCACTTCCAGGGTGAGAGTGCTTTCACTTGGGTGGGACGAGGCTAAGTAGAGAGAGAGAGAGGAGACTGCTGTGGAAATAAGGCCTGGGGCTGGCATTCTCCAGCCCATGGGGCCTTGGGAAAGAACCTGGGGTATCCATATCCTAAGGTTTGAGTAATGAGCAAGAAAGTGAGGGGAATGTTAGCCTGCAAGCGAGAACTCAGGGATGCCCCCCTCGCTCCCAAAGAGGGCAATGGTGCTAACTTAGTCAAGTCCTCTGACGTTTTGAGATGCAGCTTTGGTGTAACTATATTTTGATCTAGAGTTCACGACCTGAACACTTAAGGCCAGTGTATTTATCGTATGTAAATTCTAAATCTCTTAAGAAATAGTAGGGATAGATATATAATACCTTTTAAATTAATTGTACAGGATTTATTATATGGCTGTTCTATGCTACTTAACGGATATTCCCCATCCCTACTGGGGTTGTTTTGTTTTTTTTCTATTGTGAGAAATGCTCTAATGTTCAATCTTGTACTTACATCCTTACAAATAATTATCTCCCTATTATACATTCTGAAAGATGGTTTCTGTGCCAAGGGTACACATTTTACATTTCAATACGTAGTGCCAGACTGCCTTCCAGAAAGTTCACAGCAATATTCTCTCTGACTGCTACTCACTTCATGAAGGTGTTCCAATTCTTCATATCCTTGCCAACACCGGACAATATTAATAAATGGTGTGCATTTAAAAGTCCTGATTTTAAATGAGTGTATGTTTTCCTCTAACGTGGCTCCCCACATTAAGATACAGGCTTCCAAGCTTAATCTGGCATTTGAGCAGGGAAGGTGGCAGGAAAGAAAATAAATGCATTCACTTTCCAAGTTGTGAGGGAATAATTTTTGTCTCGTCTTACTTCGTGGAGTTAGGAGGGTCTGGTTCTTAGATGTCGATATGGAGAAAAGTTGGCTTTGAGAGCATTTCCATGAACCTGAAGGTTCTGGAATGCATTTTTCTCGTTGGGTCCATGCTAAGTCATCATATTTCAAAGGCTTCTCAGGACAAGGGCTTGTGTTGGAGGGGCAGTCACAGGCTCGCTTCTTCTTAAACGTTTGCCTCTTTGGCCCTCTTGTTCCAGCTAAGGGCCCTTTGGGTGGGTTTTCTGCTCCGTCTTGGAGCAGTCAAGTCCAGTGGAACAAGCCATGTGACCACTCCCCAGATCCTCTCACAGGGCTCAGGCGTGGCTCAGGCTCAGGTATGAAGGAGTGGCGTGTGCCCCAGGCAGATCTGAGTCAATAGAGAGGCAAGGCCCAGTCGTGTATTAACTAACAAGTCTTGAGGACTTACGGGCTGCTAGGTACTGTGCTAAGTGCTTTCCACACATTTTATTTAGTCCCCACAGAAAACCCACTATAATTAGCTTCATTTTGCAGACGTGGTTTAGGAAGGTTAAGGCACAGACATTAGTACATCTCGTAAGTAGCATGAGGAGTTCTCAAACCTGGGTCTTTCTGACTTTCAAACCCATGCTAATAGTTGAAAGGGCTAAGTATAGAACCCCAGGGCCCTGGGACCAGGTCAGAGTGTCCTGTTCAGTTTTGTTACTTTCTAGCAAGAAATTGTTCTGCTGCGGATAAGGTTAAATATTCCAATATATAGAATAGGACCGAGGAAATTTCCCCCCATTGATTAGTTAAGTATGTTAATAAGGTTGCTTAGAACTCTTTTTCTAAGGAACATGTACAGCCTTGGAGACCCCATGGAATTTATCAGTGTGTGGAGAAGTTGTTCTGATAAGCTTAACAGGTTCATCCAACCAAGATTCTAGAATGGGTGAGAAAAGGGATCGTTTGTGAGCATAAAAGGTAACAAGGGATTAGAAGTTAAAATCATGCATATTCATCTCAGTGATACATAGTGGATATATCTAGGCTTCATTAAAGCAGTGGATGATATCTTTGACAATGTCTCTGGATGAGGAATTATTGATTGGATGGTTATATACAATTATCAATAGATTATAATGGGAGAGACAGTGTTACATAGTGGTTAAGAATATGGTCTCTGGCCCTAGCTGGTTTGGCTCAGTGGATACTTGGCCTGTGACTGAAGGATCCTGGATTCGATTCTGGTCATGGGACATGCCTGAGTTGAGGGCTCGATCCTAAGTGGGGCTTGTGTAGGTGGCAGCCAATCAATGATTCTCTCTCTCCCTCTCCCTTCTTCTCTGAAACTGATGTTTCTTTCTCTCTCTCCCTCTCCCTTCTTCTCTGAAATACATACATACATATATATACATATATATACATATATATATATGTGTGTATACTGTATATATATATATATATATATATATATATATATATATATATATATATATATATGTAAAATGGGGTAACAATAGCATCGGCCTCACTAGGTTATTTTGAAGAGGAAATAAGATGGAAATAATCAGTAATAAGTAATGAGAGTTTAGAACAATGCCTGGTATGTGTAAGATGACATGCAGGAATAGTTATTAACAATCATAACAATTATTTTTTAACATGTCCTTATTGACTTCGGAGAGGGAGAGGGAGAAGGAGAGGGAGAGGGAGAGAGAGGGGGAGAGGGAGAGGGAGAGGGAGAGGGAGAGGGAGAGGGAGAGGGAGAGGGAGAGGGAGAGGGAGAGAGGAGGGAGAGGGAGAGGGAGAGGGAGAGGGAGAGGAGAGAGGGAGAGGGAGAGGGAGAGGGAGAGGGAGAGGGAGAGGGAGAGGGAGAGGGAGAGGGAGAGGGAGAGGGAGAGAGAGAAACATTAGTGATGAGAGAGAACCATCGATCAACTGACTCCTGTATGCTCCCTTCTAGGGATCATGCTCACAACCCGGGCATGTGCCCTGACTGGGAATCAAACCATGACCTCCTGGTTCATGGGTCAATGCTCAACCACTGCACCACATCATCTGGGCATAATGATTATTGTTATGAGGTTGTTGACTGTACACAAAGCAAACTGATTAATGACTGTAGTGACTTATATTCAGCACTGATCAGAACCTAGGAACTCCAAGACTTTTCCATGCCACTGCTGCTTAGCCACATTTTTGCCCTGTAGTTATTTGTACTATTTATTTTTAGAACTCTACTTAAAAAAAGAAAAAAGAAAAAAAAGACAACCATCGATTCCCACTATCTTTTGAGGAGTCTGGAACAGGTGGGCAGGCTGGAAAATGATTTCTGTGACAAAGCCAAACGTACACACTTTACAAATTCCTCAATGGGATAAAAAAAAATCTTGATAAGTTAAAACGATGGATCAAATCTAGAAACATGTTGTATTCTGCCGTGTTGAAATCATCTCTAAAATTTGTCTTAGAGAATGAACTTATTTATTTTTAAAAAAAATATGTTCTTATTGATTTTAGAGAGAGAAAAGAAGGGAGAGGGAAAGAGAAAGAAACATTGATGTGAGAGAGACACATTGATCGATTGCCTCCTGGGGACCAAACCAAAACATGGCATATGCCCTAACTGGGCATCAAACGGGCGACCTTTTGGTGCACGGATGATACTCAACCATCTGAGGCCAGAGCTATTTGATGGTATTTTTATTTTAAGAATCCTTTCTTAACAATTGCCAAAAGTATCATGGTTTTATTATCAACAGTTGTTGAACCCTAAGTGTTACTTGTTTCATTTCTCAGCACTTCTTGTTGTGTTTTATTATGTCTTTCTCTTTCTTGACTTTGTTTATTCTGATGTTTTTCGCTGGCTGCAATATTTTCTCAAAATCTTTTCCAGAAAAGAAATGTCAATGCTATGATACCTGGTATCACTCATGGTCTGAAAGGTCATTCCTTTGTTTAAATATAGCATGATGTTCTGCTCCATTTTTCTTAGAACTCTGTCAACATTTCTCCTTTGCTATCTAGCATTTAGTGTTTCAGACAGGAAGTCCTAGGTCAGATGGGTTCTCTTTCCCTCATATATTACTGTTCCTTTCCCTCAGAGAGTAATACTTTCTTTCCTTATTCTATGAAATTCAGAATTACTTTCTTTTTTTTTTTTTTAACATTCAGACTTGTTTGTTGTAAAAGCTATTTGGATTTGAATACATAAACTGAGGATTTTTAAAAATATTAATTCTTATACATTTACTCCATTCTCTTCTGCAATTCCTCTTAAATGAATACTGATGGTTGCCAAGTGGAATGGGGGTGGTGTGGGGAGATGGTAAAAAGGAATACAGAACAGTATAAAAAGTATAATTTAAAAAAAATTAAATGGATATTAACTATTTTGGATTTATCTTCATGTGTTTTTTTTTGTTCTATACTCTGTCTATTTATTTTTCTATATGTTTTTGGAGAATTCCTCAAATTGGAATTTGCACATTTATTTTTCAGCATTGACTGAGCTATTATTCAGTGCCTCCACTGATTGAGTTTTTATTTTTGGCGTTCATATTTTGTTTTTAATTTTCTAAGTCTTTAGAGTTAGGTCCAGAGCAGGCACAATGTAACTTCTGCCCTGTCCTATTTTTTTTTTTTTTATTGACACAGTTTCTTCTAATCTTGTTTGCACTTCTGCATCTCTTAGTTATCTACTACCAGTACTATATTATTTCTAGTCTCCTGACTCCCAAATCTAGTGGCTTAAAACAGCAATTTTATTATTTCTCACAATTCCATGGCTAGGTAGTTTCATCACGTGTGTAGACACGTTCAGCTGGTGGCTGGCCTGAGCTGGCAGGTAAGAAAAGGCCTCTCCCATGTCTGGGGCCCTCGTGCTGATGGTCAGTTCTCCTCTATGTGGCCCTCTCTTCAGCTGGAGTCTCATCCTACGGCCTCTCTGAGTGGGCTTTCTCCCAAGTAGAATAGCCTGGATTTCCTAACAGCATGGCCACTAGATTCTAAGAGAGAGAAAGAAGCTGCCAGGTGTCTTCAGAGTTAGTCCAGAGCAGGCACAATGTGACTTCTGCCCTGTCCTATTGGCCACAGCAAGTCCCACGGCCAGCCCAAGGGAGCCACACACTCGTGATGGGAGGAGTGGCATGCGAGAAAGGGAGAAGAAAAATTGTTGCCAGCCATCTTTGAAGACAGTCTCCCACAAAGAGTTCCCTAAAGTTTGAAGCACAAAATGTGTAGGTGGCTCAGAATTGGTAGTTTTTCCCCTGAAATCTACATAATTTTATTAACCAGTGTCACCCCAGTAAATTCAAGAAGAATAATAAAAACATTGGTAGCTTGTATGGGCTCCTTCAGCAATTGAGTGAATGACTGGTTCCCAAACAATGACCAATGGGTGATGAAGTATTCATTGGTGTAAGACCCAAGAACGAACAAAGAAAAAAGGATATAGTGAATTTCAGTAAAATCCCAAACAAATGTAAAAGAATTTTGAGATTATTTTCTTCCTTCTTTTAGGAAATTATGTTGCTCATAGTTTTTTTGGGGGGAAAATACGTATTTCTGTCAAAATAGAATATTGGCTGCCCCATACTAGTGTCAGTCCTCCCAAAATGGCTGGTCTCTGAAATCCCAGACTTCCTCTAGTCATGCTGCGCCCTGTCCGCTGCCCCCCTTATGGTTCTTGCATAGATTTTGGGAAATGTGCCACCTCCTTTAAGGTGCTTTGTTTCTCCAAGTAAAATTGGTGTATGTGTTGCTGAGGTAATTCTTAAGTCTGCAGTTTTGTTCTCTCAGCCAGATCAGGGTGGGGCTGGGGGCTGCTGACTGGCAGAGAGGAATCTTTTTCAGACTCTGGATTACTTACCCCTGTACTTGCTACTTCCCATAATCCTTAGTCAGGGGGAGTCTGCCAAGAAGCCCGGCTTTCCTTTCTCGAAGCCTGTTTTAAGGCCCTGCTATCTTGGTAAATTTAGTGAGATCCTTCTGAAGTGTCTCTTTACTGGCTTACTATCCTATGTTCATTTTTGAAAACATTTTTTCACTCTTGTCTAAATTATTTCATATTTGTAGTTCTTTAGATATTTTTAGTATGAGGTTGAGGCCATTCTTATTTTATAGTACCAGTAACTGAATTTTTAAATTCTCATCTTTTTATATGAAGATATGTTTTTATTGATTTGAGAGAGGGGAAGGAAGAGAGAGAGAGAAACACCTAAGTGAGAAACATTGATTGGTTGCTTCCCCTACTAGTCCTGACTGGGAATCCAACACACCACCTTCTGACATACAGGAGGATGCTCCGACCACCTGAGCCACCTAGCCAGGGCTGACATTTATTAACATACTCTTTTTTTTTTTAAATTCATTTGACTTGGTCTCAGACAGTTGGGGATGGATGGCTGTTGGTTTTTCTAAATCCCCAGAACAAGGTCACAAGTACTTCTGAGCACCTCTGAGTGAAGGATACCTGAGAAGACCCCTTAAAAAAGTAAAAATAAAATTCATGATACTTTTGCACACAAATGCACCCATTTGTAAGTGTAGACTGAGAATGTGAAAAATGGTGGTCACAATGTCATTCCCCCTCCCTCACTTTTTCTTCTTTCTGTTTTTCTCTCCCTCTCCTATTTGGGATGGGTCTCAAGACATAGATGAGTGTGAGGTGTCCGGCCTGTGTGGGCAGGGAGGACGGTGTGTGAACACTCATGGGAGCTTTGAATGCTACTGTATGGATGGATACTTGCCAGAGAGTGGCCCCGAGCCTTTCCACCCGACCAGAGATGCCACGTCATGCACAGGTGGGTTTCTGCGGAAGAACGCTCGGAAAGGGAGTTCCCGTTGGTGGTGATTTTCTGCAGCCCTCACCTCTGTCTGTGGGTCTCTGTTGGGGAGGTAGGTAGAGATTATTACAACCTATGAGATAACCAAATCACCTAATGAAGATAGAAGGGGCTATGTTAAAAAGCTAAATTACTAAACTTTGGGAATTTTTAGCAGTTAATAGATATTTTGATGGTAACCATTAGGTTAGCTTGTAAAATGTTAGGCTGATCTGGTAAGGACGAGCATCTCAAAAGTGACCCTGAAAATGATAAAGGCATATATATCTGAAGGTGTTTTGCAATCTAAAATTTTCACTTCACTGGATTAGGATTCTTTTTAGTTAGTTTGTGTTAGTGAAGGTTGATTGCCGAATTTGTTCAGCTTTGTGCAAGTATAGATGCCATTGCCTATGGCAGGTCAGAAGACTGAAGAGAGATCATCATTGGAAATATGCGCAAAAGTCATGTGGAAATGAACCAGCCTATTTAGCATGTGGCTGGGATCTGTGTGTGTAGGGAGGGGGAATGGGGTAGTGGTAGAGATTATGAATTTTGGAAATTCACAGAATAATGCATTTGACATTCATTTATTTGCAGAAATAGACTGTGGCACTCCTCCTGAGGTCCCAGATGCCTATATTATAGGCAATTATACCTCTGGGCCTGGCAGCCAGATTCGTTATGCTTGCAAAGAGGGGTTTTTCAGTGGCCCAGAAGATATAGTTTCAAGCTGCACAGCCTTGGGCACATGGGAGTACCCCAAATTAAACTGCCAAGGTGAGTTTTCCAAAGGTTCGGGTTCACGGCTTATACCATATTGAGATTTTCATAGTTCTCTCTTCAATTTCTCCTTGGGCTGGTGGATGAATGGAATAAACCCAATAATTCCTCCCCCCGCCCCAATAGGTTTTTAGTTAATTCCAGGAATAGTATCCTCTATCATCTGCAAATAATGATAATCCCATCTTCTATTTTTCAACTTTTAAAAAAGTTATGTTTTTCTCTTGATCACTTGGCTAGTGTTTTCAGAACAAAAATTTAAATGTCTGTGTTGACTTTGAATATTCTTGTCTTATTCCTGGCTTTCATGAGTGGTTTCACTGATGCTCTTGGATTTTGATGTTATGTATATCTTTATTGTTGCTGTTAATCTTCACCCAAGGATATTTTTTCCCATTGATTTTTTAGAGGGAGTAGAAGGGAGGGGGAGAGACAGAGAAAGAGACACATGGATTGGCTGCCTCCTACACACCCTTCCATGCTCCTGACCAGGGTGGGGGATTGAGCCTGAAACCTAGATATGTGCCCTTGACCAGAGTTGAACCCGAGATCTTTCAGTCCGTGTGCCAATGCTCTATCCACTGAGCCAGACTGGCTAGGACTATGTACACTGAGTGGCCATATTATTATGATCTCTGAACGTATAATAATCTGGCCACTCAGTGTCTGTATATATGGATATGTGTGTGTGTGTGTGTGTGTGTATGTCTGTGTGTATGTATGTGTATGTGTGTGTGTGTGTGTGTGTGTGTGTATGAATTTTTTTTTTTTTTTTTAGAGTCTGGGTGCATGAATTCGTGCATGGGTGAGGTCCAGCCAGCCTAGCCAGGGGGAAGGGACATGGGCGGTTAGCTGGCCTGCCTGCTGGTCAAACTCCTGATTGAGGGGACAATTTGCATATTAGCCTTTTATTATATAGGATATACACTCCCAAATATCTATCAATAGGAAATTGGTTAAATAAATCAAGGCTTATACATAAAATGGAATATTTTATAGCCAATAAAAATTATGTTGGAAAAAATATTTATTGACATAGGTTAAGTATTCATAGTATATTGCTAAGTTGCAAATTATATGAATAATATAATCTGAATTTTGAAATAGTTCATATATGCTTATGAAAAAGTTTAGAAGTCTATACATCAAAGTATTAACAGTGGTGCCCTGGCCAGTTTTGCTCAGTGGAGCAGACTGAAAGGTTGTGGGTTTGATTACCAGTCAAGGGCACATACCTCGATCCCTGGCCTGGGGTGGGTGTAAATGGGAGGTGACCAATTGATGTGCCTCTCTCATATCAATTTCTCTCTCTCCATTTCTCTTCCCTCCTCTCCATTCTCTCTCTCTCAAAAAAAAATATCAATGGATGAGGATTTAGAAAAATGTTAACAGTGGTAATTTGCACTGTGGGTGGGTAGGTCCTGGATGATTTTTTATATCTTATGTACTTTCTGTATTGAAGGAATTTTTAACATATAACAAAGCTTAGTTTTTATTGAATTTATTGTATAGCTAAGTAACTCAGTGATGTGCTTGGCTGAGTTAATCCTTTTGCTACTCTGATTTGTAATTTCAGGCTCTACACACATTTTAATAGTTAATTATCATCCTGGGGCATAAGAAATTCTAAAAGTATATTTTAGCTCTAACATCTTTCAATAAATCAATTAAAATGCAGAACTTAGATTAAAATGTGACATAACGCACATCAAAGCACTCCCTAAAGATTTATACAGGAAACCCCAACTAAAACAATTTGTATTATACTTTAAAAGTTGGATTTCCATCTGGATTATTGGACTGAGAATACAGAAGGTTAGATAGAGCGTGCTTGTTATATTCCTCTGAGAACTGTTATTTAGAAGATCTTCCCTTCTTTCCCGCCCCTAATAACTGCTCTCTGCCTGCTGACACCCTCCTCCGCCTCCCCCATGCCACCACATGGCTGAGGCTTCTCAGAGCGGTGTCTGCCCCTCTCTAAGCACACCCTCTCTTACTTACCCTCCAGTCTGCGTGGGGCCTCTGGGATCTGGGCCCTGTGCCAGCCAGCACTGTATTTTTAGCTCATATGAAGCCGCAGGAATTGGGAATTCCACTAGGAACACAAGCAGACTGTGAACTTGGATGCTGTGGAGGAGCAGGTACTTGTGAAGGGAGCAGCTGTGATTACAGATGGCAGCGTTTGTGGCCCAGAACAGGCTTTCCCGACAGAGAAGGTACAGTTGGTGGACCTGTTGTTCACGTTCTTCCAGTTTCTGTGTCCTCGGTGGCTGTGCTGCCTTGGCACGGGAGCCTGTGACAAGGGTCCCCCATCCCACCGGGCCTCAGAGCTGGAAGTGAGGATGACAGGTCCCTTGGTCTCTTCTTCTTTGAAAAAAATTTTTTTTAATATATATATTTATTTATTTATAAAATTTATTATATTTTATTGTTTAAAGAATTACAAATGGTATATTTTTATTGATTTCAAAGAGGAAGGGAGAGGGAGAGAGAGATGGAAACATCAATGATAGAATCATCAATTGGCTGCCTCCTGAGTGCCCCCTACTGGGGATTAAGCCTGCAACCCTGGCATGTGCCCTAACTGGGCATCGAACCATGATCTCCTGGTTCATAGGTTGACACTCAACCACTGAGCCACACCGGCTGAGCTGTGGTCTCATCTTTCACGTAGGTAGAACTTGATGGAAATATGTGGCTGAAAGGATAGTATTTCTACCTTGCATTTCCTACATTTTGTTATAGTTACTACTTTTTTAATTTTCAGAAAAAGATGCAAGTTATGAGTGGCAGCTTAAATACCAACCAAGCCAGGAGCTAGGTGAGAGAATCACTTGGTCCATGTTACCATTAACAACAAAATGGAGTCTGGTTCTCCTGTTACATACGATAGATCCTGTGACTAAGAAAGTCTGGAGTTGGGAGGAGAGAAGACAGCTAAGCCATTGTGCTATCCAGGGGCACACCTAAATTTATGTGAGGAGGACAAGCAAAGACGAAGAGAGTTCCAATGGGGACATGGGTGGCTCCATGGAGGTGGGGGTCTTGGTGCTCTTCCCTGTGAGGTGTTTGCTTCCTGTGTGAGAGTCCATGGAGGAAGGGTGGTTTGTATAATAGTATGGGCACACCGTGGGAGGGTTCTGGGGACACCTGTCATCCAGATGTGCCCCCTATCTTATGGGCCACATCTTCCTTTCAAGCTGGGAATTCTTACTGAACAGTTCTCTTAAGAATCCACTTTGAGGCTTGCCCACTCCAGCCCATTGCCCAGGAATGCATCTCTTAAAACATAAATTGAATTATTCTCTCTCCTCACTTAAAACTCTTCTAAAAACATGGGAATGGCCACTTTATTTAGAATAGAATCCAAGCTCTTATTCATGGACCCAAAAGTCAACAGGGGTTTGACCGCTTGTCTTTTCTGCGGGTTACATCTCCCATCACCCTTTCCCAGCCAACACGCCAGACTCTGACTGACTTCAGGGCCTTTGCACGTGCTTTTCCTCTACTTGACATACCAGCCTCCTTACGTTTCTTATTTATAGTAAAATACGTGTAATATAAAACTTGAACCATTTGTAAGTGTGCAATTCAGTAGCATTAAATACGTTCATCATGTCGTGCAACCATTTTCAGAATGTTTTCATTATCCTAAACAGAAACTTTGTGCCCATTAAATAATAACTTATGACTCCTGTCTCCCTCTGGCCCCTGGTAACTTCTGTCATACCTTCTGGCTCTGTGAATTTGTATTCTAGGTACCTGATGTATGTGGACTTATACAATATCTATCCTTTGGGCTTATTTGACATCACATAATGTTTTCAAGGTGCATCCATGTTGTAGCATGTGTCAGAACTTCAGTCCTTTTAAAGGCTGACTATGATTTTATGGTATGTGTAGACTACCTTTTGTTTATTCATTCATCTGTTGACAAGGTCTCCCTGCTCTTAGCATTATTCTCATCTTTCAGTTTTTAGCTTTAGATGCCATCTCTGATATTATTTTCTTTCTTAGCACACAACGTGTAAGTATATTATAATTATTTTTGTGGTTTATATCAGTCTACCCTGTAGATCTGGGAGCACAGCGACCATGTAATCTTCTTCAGCAGGTTCTGTCCTGCACCTGGCACAGTGCCTGGCATACCTGAGGCTTGTGGATACATCCTGTTTTTCTGTGATGTCAGTGGTTACTTCTCCACTTTCGTTTCTGATTTTATTTATTTGGGTCCTCTCTGTTTCTTGATGAGTCTGGTTAACAATTCAATTTTATTTATCCTTTTGAAGAACCAGCTTTTTGTTTCATTGCTTTTTAAATTTTTTTTAATTAAATATAACGGTATTTTATAGATTTTTAACAGAGAGAAAGGGAGAGAGATAGAGAGATAGAAACATCGATGAGAGAGAAACATCGACCAGCTGCCTCTTGCACACCCCCTACCGGGGATGTGCCCACAACCAAAGTACATACTCTTGACCGGAATCGAACCTGGGACCTTTCAGTCCGCAGACCGACGCTCTACCACTGAGCCAAACTGGCTTCAGCTCATTGCTTTTTTTGTTTGTTTTTTGTTTGTTTTGTTTTTAGTCTCTGTTATTTATTTCTGCTCTAATCTTTATTATTTCCTTCCTTCTACTTACTTTGGGCTTTTCTTGTTGTTCTCTTTCTAGTTCTCTAAGTTGTAGGGTTAAATAATTTATTGTTGATTTCTCTTGTTTTTTTAAGGTACTTCACTCTCAAGACTGCTTTTGCTGTGTTCCAGAGATTTTGGGTTGTTGTGTGTTCATTTTCATTTGTTTCCAGAAAGTTTTTGATTTCTTTCTTGATCTCATTAGTAACTTATTCATTGTGCAATAACATGCTATTAAGCCTTCAGGTGTTTTAATGTTTTGGGGTGTTTTTACTGTAGTTGATTTCTAATTTCATTTCAATGTGATCTGAGCAGATGCTTGATATTATTTAAATCTTCTTAACTTGTAGAGACTTGTTTTGTG